TGTGTAACAAAAAATCTTGCCCCCAAACTGGGCATAACTACAAGGAGTTATAGATACTTTTTATCCTCATTGTGATTATTTACTATTATCTCATGCATGTCAATTGCCCAAATTTTGTTTTTTTAAGATATTATTTATTTTGATCCTACTTGACCTTAAACAGTTACTTCTGATGAATTTTTTTGTGCATTTTAATATACTTCAAAAGTTATTAAATGTAATATGTCAAAGTTTATTTATAAGACTACTAAAAAATACCTCATTACCTTAAGAAACGATAAGACTTGAAAATAATGTATTAATTTGTAGTGTATGTGATTATTAAATATCTAATATTTGATGTTACTTATTTATAATATCTTTCAATCGTGTGATAGAAATATAGTGGTGACAAAAAAACCAAGAAACCGAAACCGATCGACAAATCGACCGAAATTGAACCGATCGAAACTGAAATAGACTCAAACCAAAATCGACTAAAACCAATTAACCATTGACGGTTTGGTTTATGGTTTCACCTTTTGAGTTGAAAGATCGATTGAACCAAAATCGACAAACAAAAACCAACAAACATGCTATTTGTAAATCAAGAACAAGAGTCAAGAGCAATCGTTATGAACTGTAGGTCTTTTCTTCCGACGTCATGTTTCTACAAGGGTAATTGTATGTTGCAGATTCACAAGTGATAAATTCGTTTGACTTGAATTTCGTGAGGTATGGTGATGAGAGAAATAAGAAAAAACTGTTCTATAAAGAATTCTTCAATAATTAGAAATAACTTCTAATATTTATTTATTTATTTATTACCAATGGTTATTGATAAAAAAGACTACTTCGTCTGAATTATAATTGTATTTATAGGTTAACATTTATAATATTTGTATTCTACATCCCGTGCAACGCACGGGTGGAAAACTAGTATTATTAAACAACGCTTAATTTGTCATATTAAGAAGCTGTTTTGTTCATCGCATTCTTATTACTTATTGCTTATTCTTATTTTATTCAGATCAGATCATATCAAAAAAATTCAAATCAGATGAGATCAGATCAGAAAGATTCAGATCAGACCAGACCAGATCAAAATCATTCAGATCAGATCAGAAACATTCAGGTCAGAAAAGTTCAAACATGATTTATCACTTTTATTATTATTATTATTATTATTATTATTGTTGTTGTTGTTGTTGTTGTTGTTATTGTTGTTGTTGTTGTTGTTGTTATTATTATTATTATTATTACTATTATTATTATTATTATTATCATCATCATTACTATCATCACCATCATCATCACCACCACCACCACCATTATAATCATCATCATCATCATCATTATAGATATAATTATCATAATTATAATTATAAATTAATTATAATTAAATTATAATTAAACTATAATTACAATTATTATAACTATAATTATAATTCGTTTAATAGGTATAAAAATTATAAATATTATAATTTTAATTATATTTTTTATAATTATAATTATACTTATAATTATATTTATATTTACAATTATAATTATAATAATTATAATTATAATTATAATTATAGAAGTATTCAAATCAGATCAGATCAAAAAGATTCAGATCAGATCAGAAGAATTCAAATCAGATCAGAAAGATTCAGATCAGATGAGAAAGATTCAGATCAGATTTGATTAGAAAATTTCAAATAAGATTAGAACAGAACTTTAAAATTTCAGATGAGAAACATTCAGACCAGGTGAAGAGAACATCTTCTAAGACAGATGACATTAAAACGTCTAACATAAAATATAAATGCAATTTACTATTGTTATTGCAAAAAATCTTTTAATACAGGTAGAGTACAACATATAATAAATACAAATATGTCATATTAGCTAACTTTGTCATAATGAAATGTGTAAAAGTTAAAATGATATATGCTAAACATGTATTTTTCATATCGAAATAATTTATTTATATTCTAAAGATGAAAAGTGAAGATAAATACAAAGTATTATATATATATATATATATATATATATATATATATATATATATATATATATATATTAATGGTTGTTCGGTGTTCGGTGTTCGGTTTGGTTTATGGTTTTAAACCAAACCCAACCAATCCACTCGGTTTGAGAAAATTGTTACCAAACCAATCCACCAATTTTTTGTTTGGTTCGATTCGATTAAACCAATGCATTTTGCACAACTCCGGGTTCAAAGCCAGTCGAGCTGGGCTCAATATATAAAAATTAATTAATGGGTTGCATCAAAGCCGTTTTTAATGAAATTGTAGCCCTAGCCTATCTATATAGTTTGGCTTCAGGGGTCAGGCACGGCTGACCTACATGTCACAAATACTTCCTCCGTCTCTTAAAACTTTGTCATCTTTTCTTTTTGGGACGTCCCAAAAAACTTTGTCACTTTCCCTTTTAATCAATTATTTTGTGGTTTCTATTATTTCTCTCTCCTCTGCACAAACTTCAACCACACTGTTTTTACTTTATTATTCTCCGTGCCGGTCAACTTTGCCAAAGTTTTAAGAAGGGACGGAGGTAATAAGATTGAACTTAGATGCACTTGGTGTATAAAATTTATACTACGTAATATATAAAGGGATTTTGGGTTGGGCTCAGTTAGATTTAATAGGTTGGGCTCGACCAATGAACTGATCCGAGTACCAAATACTCCACCCCTGCCAACCTTTAAATAATGGGTTGGGTCGGCCCATGACCCTTATGGCCGGGCTCGACGTTTTGGAAAATGGAATGAATAGGCACCCACTTCATTGAGTAGGAATAAAGTATAATGAATGAGTAGCCTATTACACAAATATTAGTCTCTCCGCAATATATATTACTTGACACAAAAAATAAGAAAATAAAAATTGTGTAATAAAAGTGTGTAGAGAATGAAGGAGTAATGATAAAGTTTTTGTCACTTTTAATCCTCCCACTGTTGTTATCTAAATGACACTTTTGGTATAAGACTTTGAGTTTTTTCAATTTTAATCCCTCATCTATTTGTGTGAAAATACTTTTTGATTTTTATCTTTGAAACTTTCCATATTTAGCCTTTCGACTTTCATAATGGTAACACTTTAGGTCCTTCAAAATCATAATTGAAAGATTAAAAATGTCGACTTCGAATTAGTCAAGGGACTAGACTTGGAAAGTTTAAAGTCAAAGACTTAAATTGTTTCTCACACAATAGTCAAGTGACTAAAAATAGAACAATTAAAGATCGAGTACCAAAAGTGTTAGTGACACATGACCAGGGGCTAGACGTGGCAAAACTCAAACTAATATTTCGTATGAATCAGTAAAAGTAAAAGGGAGATTTCAACAAGTAAGAGCAAAACGTACTAATTTTCCAAAACTAAGACCGAAGATTAGCATAAGACTCAACTACACCTGCATTGACACAATACCCTTACTTTTAGAAAATAACAGACATTAAATAGATAATAAATAGACAATAAGTAGATAACAAATAAACAATAAATTCTGCAAATTCAATCGCCTAAACCCAATCAACAAAAAACTTACCCCTAATTTCGCTTTCCATATCTGTATTAAGCAATACCAAGAGGCAATGGTTTACAAGAAACCAGAAAAGAGAAGAAGTTGAGATGCAGTGGCGGAGAAGAGGGACAAGTATAGGACGACGGTGACATAGGTTGTAGTAGGGCGGCGGCGGAGGAAGAATGCGCGACTTCGGCGGCGGAAGAATTTCGCTTTCCAGATCTGTATTAAGCAATACCAAGAGGCAATGGTTTACAGGAAACCAAAAAAGAGAAGAAGTTGAGATGCAGTGACGGAGAAGAGGGACAACTATAGGACGACGGTGACATATGTTGTAGTAGGGTGGCGGTGGAGGAAGAACGCGCGACTTTGGCGGCAGAAGAATGCGCGACTTCGGCGGCGAAAAGATGCGTGACTGCTGCAGCGTCTGGTCCGCATTAGGAGGTAGCGGCGAAAGGTTGTGCGGCAGTGGCGGTATCTGGTGCGTGGTTGGAGGCAGCGGCTTCAATTGCTCGGTTCACCGGCGAGAGATGAAAAGGGACTGAATTCTCTGAATGAGGCTGGTCTGTCCGCAACAGGAAAGTGGATTGAAGGGGCTGAAGGGTAAAATTGGAAGGAAGAAATAGAATTTCCTGAAATAGAATTAAGTAAATCACACGGATGGAAAAAGCATGATCAAGTCATATTTTTGTAAACTTGCATTGATTTAGTCTTAGAAATAGCATTTTTCTCAAAGTAAAATAGAGTTTATATTAGGATAGTCGGAAAAGAACATGATGAACTATATTTGGAAAATAGAAATTATTATAACCTGTTTGACATAATCCCTTCGTATTGTAATGTTTACAACACTTTAAAATTGAGGTAATTTGAGTTTGCACCTTATTTGAATTTTCATACGGGGGTGGGATGTAAATACCAATTTTTTTAATAATAAAATGTAAAACCTAATTTGAACAATAAAAAGGGATGCAAACTCAAATTACTAGTTTATAATTTTAAAATCCTTTAAAGATATTCAAATATTCTTACTTTTTATCTTTTATCTTCTCTTTTATACTTCATCCGTTCTTTCTTAATTGCAACCATTTACCTTTCATATTTGTCAACGCATAAGTTTGACCATTAATACTTCCTCCGTCCCTTAAAACTTTGTCAATTTTCCTTTTTTGGATGTCCCACTAACTTTATCATTTTTCTTTTTAAGTAAAGAATTTGTGTTTACAGTTAATTATCTCTCCGTTGCATAACTCTCAACCACTCAATTTTCAATTTATTTATATCCGCACCAATCAAACTTGGCAAAGTTTTAAAGCTGGAAAATGTTAATGTTACGATGAGAAGGAAACTACTCCGTATTTAAAAAAAGATAAGGCGACCAGCATCTTATTCGAGTTGACAGGTGATTGGATGGAAGGGAAAGGAAGAATGGGGTGAATTTACTTTCCCACCCCTCCAAAGTCCAAACAGCTAACCAAAAAAGTGGATGCAGTCGATAAAGCTGTCAGCATCTCTCTCTCTCTTTCCTCACCAAGAAAACTTTCGTGGCTTCGTTGGCACCTAACGCTGTGCTCGTCTGCCCCACACGCTGTCGCCGCCCTTCCTCGGCGCTTTCATCTTCACAGCAGTGAAGGCTTTCTCAAGTGTTGGTAGAAGTACCTTCGATGGCGCACCACATAAGCACACCGCCGGCGGGCGGAGGGTCGGGTTTGCAGGTGGTAGGTCATGGCCCGGGTCCTTTTGGTGACACTACGCACACCAAGGTTTTCGTTGGAGGGTTGGCGTGGGAGACCCAGAGCGATTCCCTGCGCCGCTACTTTGAGCAGTTCGGCGACATACTGGAAGGTGTCGTCATCACCGATAAGCACACCGGACGCTCCAAAGGATATGGTTTTGTAAGTCTTCTTCCATCAATCTTGAGCTGAACTTAAATTGACTCGATGAGGTGGAGTGAACCTAGGTTTAGGTAAGAGATCATCAATTTCCCCTCTTCTTCTTGCACAATAGATATGGATATGTGGTTGCAGCCACAGTGGTATGGAGATTAGTCAAATACAGTATTAAGATAAGAGCCAAGAGTAGAACCTTGAGGATGAACCCGAATGTCTACCTTCATCACAAGAATTTTTTTCAGACTAGGCAAACTTAGAAATAATCTAGATTAGCATATTCACCCTAATCAAACACGCCATCAGCGCCTGCGTGGGTTGAGAGGGAAGACTTTGGATAGCTTAATCTACATTCCCACATATAACTTAATATTTATGGGACTACACAATTTCAATCGCCTGTTTTTTGTTTCAAGAAACATCCTATTTTTCAAGATATAAACGAAGCTCCAAGTTTCCTCCCAATCCCTTCCGTCTCAACAGATCCTAAAGAAATTACTTCTTTGAGTTGACTTTTAGTTTTAGTTTTTGAGCGTCTTACGGGTTAGTTACTAGCTACTTCACATTATTTAACTATTTGTGTTCTATTAGATCACAGTGTGGCAACTTCTTTTGAAACATTTAGATGTTTCTTTGCACAACAACGTTCTTGTTTTTTTTTTACTGAATTATGGAGTTAATGTCTATCTATGCATATTGTTGGCATCTTCTTTCTACACTCATTGCGGAGGTTAGGTGACGTTCCGTGATCCTGAAGCTGCTAGTAAGGCTTGTGCCAACCCAAATCCAGTCATTGATGGTAGGAGAGCAAACTGCAATCTTGCTTCGCTTGGGCGCCCTTCAACTTTTCCTTATGGTAAAATCAATAATTTGCAATACGGGTCATTTAAGCAGCGCACTTTATAAATAAATGTAATATATATAGTAATGACTATGGTCTGATCAATTATGGCTTTGCTGATGAACAGAGTCACATTCATCAAGTCTACCGTATATGGGGCCGCAAGCTTTGGGAGGTTTGTATATGGGAAGCCCAGTTTACCAGCTCCCAGTTACGTATGGCTTTCAACCTGGAGTGCCATATCCACCTTATAGGTTAGTTCATGAACTTTCCAAGAAGAGGTTTTTGATACCGTCCTGTTCCAAGGTGTGAATGTGTGATCAATAGCCCATTATCGGTTTGTCTAGGCCGAACAAAGTGCTCCAATATCACATGTTTATAAAATCATCTGATTACATGTTTTATTTTCCATTGACCTTTCTGGTTACCAAGTGTGGTAGACATCTCATAATCTTTGAATTGGTATTTTGATCTCCAGCACTTAAAACTAGAACTTTGCTATTTCGACTGAGAAAAAAAACTTTGTCGGTCTAACTGCATTTATCAACAGAGTTTTCATTTTGACTCTTATAATGAGAGGTGGGGTTGGGATGCTTAATTTTTTTGGACTTCTGCTGAAACAATTACTAATACATTACTCATGCAAGAGATGTGATATGAAGAAATCAGCCAATACAGATGGTTGATAAATTTTTTCGCATCTCAAAATGAATTGATGTTTGTAAACAAAGGCTTAGGGACTTAGGATCACAGAGTGCTTTGCAAATGTAATTTAATTTAATCTCGCATGTTGTGCGAGAAGCAGCTTATGCTGCTGGTCTACAACATCTGACACATATGCTTATTTATTAATTGCAACGCACAATACGGCGTGAAGTTCACAGTTTACCAACATAAGCTTCCTATAAGTTCACAGTTCATGCACAATACGACGTGATTGTTTCTGATGTGGTAATAGTCCCAATCAACTGACCCACTCCATTTCCATGAAGTAAGCCTCAAGGATAGGGAAGTTATCCAGACTAAAGTAGTGGGAGACACAGATGAAGTGAGCAGCGTGTATGAATGGAGGGATTATACATACAACATCCCAGGGACTAGCCGAGAGGACTATACACTAGAGATAAATATATAATACTCCTCATCCCCCTAAAATTGTCCCATTTTTTCATTTTTGGATGTCCCTCTATATTGTTCCATACCATATTTAATAATATTTGTGTGGCTCTAATTCATTCTTACTTTATTCTCACTTTATCAACTCATTATCAGCCACATAATTCTACTTTTCTTAAAAACCACACCACAATTTAAGGGGGACGGAGTAGTATACCCTAAGGGCTAATTTTATGCCTACATTAATTTAACTGGGTCGGGCTCGGGTCAAACAAAAAAATAATAGGGACGGGCCGGTCTTGGCCTAGAACCGGGACCGTACTGACCTGGGTCCATGCCTACTCTACCATATATCCCGGCTCAATGGCTCATGTTGCCGCGACCCAAAGGACCTGTGCTTTTCATCGATTAGTTTGCATGTTAAATATATTGTTTCTATTTTTTTCTGGACATTTTAGTCCTACTGTGTACAACTTAAGAATAAAAACTTTTTGGTTGTACATAAGCGATGGTTTTAAATTTTACTTAATGCTCGGCAGGTACCCTGCTTATGCCCCTGAATATGTATACCCTCAGGCAAGTCTGTTTACTTTATTCAGCTCAAGGTGGTTGTGGAATTTAACAAAAATTCATAATATTGAATTAGTTTTTAAAATCATATTGTAGCTAAACAAAACATAAAAAATGAGCTTAGTATGCACAAAATGTCTTGGCAAATGCTTCAATGCCTTGACAAGAAGTGGATATTTTCAAAGCTGGGCATGGAAGGCCCCTATACCCATATAATAAATAGTTAAATAGGGTATTTACTTTCTCCTGTACTTTTTTTACTTGCCGCATTAGTTTGTACTTGCTTCTAAAGTTGGGCATCATTCTTCAGATGTATGGATTATCAGGTACAAATTCACTGTCGTTTGGTCACATGAGTCCTCAACCTGGTAATCCTGGGTACCCGATGATGCGAGGTTATTTCATGCCAGGTCCTCATATGGTACAATATCATCACAGACCTAATGTCAGTGGAGCAATCACAGACAACACTTCCACAATGCAAATGCCATATCATTCAGGTAGTACTTTCCCCAGCATTTCATCTCTTACTTTTTGTGATACACGTAAGGTATATATATGTATATATATGTATGTACATATATGTGTGTATGTAAATATGAGTGTGCATTATTTTGTTTGCATAGAAATCATATCTAGGAACTCAGGTTTGTTGTTGCGGTCAGGTTTAGCTTTCGTATTAATGCATTTCTTGAATCTCTTGAGATTATGGTTTTGTTATTTCATAGAGTACGTGTCTGCTAGCCTGTCAGGAACTTAAGGAACCTCCCTGAAACATGAATTTGCGAATAAAGAAATATTAGATAGCATTTTATTTCTAAAAATGTTTTTCCCAAGGCCAAATGCACATAATAGCCTATTTCATTTTTATGTTCACATTTTGCTCATTAAATTCTCAAGTGAAAATGCTAATGGAATAGCATACACAATAAGGAAATGCAAGCTTATGAGTGTTTTGGGCATTTCTTGGCTATTACTACTACAATAACAACATTACCCTAGTGCCGGTGCCGCAAAGGCTCCCACCTACGGCAGGGTAAGGGGGGTCAAATGTATGCAGCTTTACCCTTGTACTAAAGAACAGAAAGACCATTTCCGTATGACCTATGATGAAAATCGCGTCGTAAATTGCATGGACTGACTACTGCTTCAAAACAAAGAAGCACAGACAGTTCAGTGAGCCATTTGCTTTATTTCATCATATTCCCAAGTCAAAAAATAGTGATTCTTTGGCTCCAATGGAAATGATAAAAAAATTCTTGGCTATTACTAATGGATAATTATGGATTGAAGGATTTCTAGGTATAAAACCATAAACGCTTACATTTTTTGCTTTTGTACGTTTTTTGTTGGATTTCATGCCCTATGTCCTTGGAAAAGAAAATTGATTTCTTGGTGTCTCGTTCTTCTCCCTGCTAGAAGTTCACATTATAGTGATGCAATTATTGACTGGTTGCTCAGGTGTTATCATGCCTTCTGTGGGTCAACCACAGGCGGCAGTTCGTTCACATTTGCTGCACTTTCCACGTGGTAGTGCCTCTGATCGAGTGTCTGGTTGATTTTCAGTAGAGAAACATTATTTCTTGGCCTTCAACACGTAAGCTGGCTCCTAATCATCTGTACTCTTTCTTATATCTTAAGTGCATCTATCTGTTTAATTTTCTATGAATCCTTATTAGTCATTACATTGTGGATGCAGCAAATCACGAGCTGCGAAAAGGAAATGATGTACATAATCTCAGGTGCCAGCTTTTGAATTTGACCTTTGGAAGCTAACCAAAATGCAATTAAAGGTACTAGATTTCTCTGGCGCTTTAATTTGTAACGTTTTTCCTGCAGGCAACCAAGTGACTTGAATTTCTTATGCAGGTCTTCCGAAGTCAATGGACACCAATGATAACTAAGTGTCACAGTAAAATATTGCCCCGCTCTGGTGCTTTAATCCACTGATTGCCGGGAGTTGGTTTCCAGCAATTGTGATTTGGGAGAATCAACATATGATTCCTGCCTGAATGGTCTTGGTCCCCAGGGTGTTGGACCAACAGTCGTTCGTTGCATGTCTAGTGTCATTTCATCATTCATGTGGATTCAGACAAGGATTAGTTAATTGTCTATACATTTCCCCTTGCTGTAAAAATCATGTGCGTCAACTTTGTCACATTTACGATGTCCACTTTTCTGAAATGTACATAAACGATTTCATCTCAATTGGAAATGCCCTTTCAATTTATACTTCCATTTTGGGTAAATTCCCCAAAATAAGTGACAAAGTAATGTGAAATTTTAAAATTGGAGTTGGTTATTTCTTTCTTGAAATCATATTGTCATATTTTGACCATTAGCATGTGCTAGTATGAACTTTAAAGTCATATTTAGCAATATTTTTCAAAAATGACAATAATTACTTCTAATTTAGATTTCACATTGCTATGACTTCTGACACTTTGAGCTATAATTATTATTAGGACAAATTCAAGTTATATTTATTATTGGGCAATATTTTCCCATACATATAACTACTTTAAGTTTCTCCTTAAAATCACCATTTCACGGTCATGAGTTTAAGTAGAAGGTATTTTTGAGATTTTTTTTAAAATGATGACGTATAACCTCTAGACGGGGCTAGCTTGAGTAGTCCTGTAATTAGTGCACAAATTATATGGTACACCCGGGTGTACACATACACCCGGTATTTTTGTAGTTTCCTACAACTTTAAGCATTTTAAGGGGGTGTTTGGAACTGATTCTAATTTTACTTCTTTTTTAAAGCAGAAGCAGAATCAGAATCAGTTTTCAGAAGCTGGTACCCCCAGTAGGGATGGATTCGGTTCGGGCCACCCGGCCCGTGACCCGGCCCGGTACTGTGTGGGCCCCGGACCGGCCCGGTCGGGCGGTCCGGGACCGGGTATGAGCCCGAACCGGTGGGAAGGGGCGGGGCGGGCTCGGTTCAGCATTATTGTGACCCGGCCCGGCCGGCCCGGGCCCGGGTCCGGTTCAATTTTTAAATTTTTTTTTTTTTTTTGGTTTGGGCTCCTACTAGCCGTTGGGGGTGGGGCTGGGGACAACCCAAACGGCTATATAGCCGTTGGGTGGGGTAAAGGGGGGGGTCCGGGGGGGTTGGGTGGTGGGGGTGGGGGGGTGGGGGGGTGGGGGGTAAAAAAACCTATAAATACTTCTAATCTTAAACATTTTTTCATATCTCTTCTCCAATTCTTCCTAAATCCTATTCTTAACTCTCTACTCTCTAATTCTCTTATTCTCCATTCTCCAATATATTATATTTATTATTTATAGTTTATATTAATTATCTACTTATATAAACTATAAATAGATATAAATAGTATTATATTACTTATATTTGTTATCTAATTATATATTACTTATATATTTATTATATCTATTAATATAGTTGGAATTATATCTAATTAATTTGAAGTCATTCTATTACTCCCATCCGAAAGACCGAAAGTCCGAAAGAGGTACGAAATTATTCTATTATTTACACTTGTTTAATTACTAGTTAATTAGTATAGTTGGAATTACAATTTTTTATTAATATAGTTGGAATTACAATTTTTTATTAATGGCTACATTTGACTCTAGTTTAAAAAATATGTTGTACACAAAACTAGTTAATTCACTACTTAATTTGCTATAACTCGAATTAATAGTTAGATAAATAGTTAATTAGTTTTTTTTACAATTTTTTATTAATGGTTACATTTGACTCTAGTTTAAAAAATATGTTGTACACAAAACTAGTTAATTCACTACTTAATTTGCTATAACTAGAATTAATAGTTAGATAAATAGTTAATTAGTTTTTTACAATTTTTTATTAATGGCTACATTTGACTCTAGTTTAAAAAATATGTTGTACACAAAACTAGTTAATTCACTACTTAATTTGCTATAACTCGAATTAATAGTTAGATAAATAGTTAATTAGTTTTTTACAATTTTTTATTAATTGCTACATTTGACTCTAGTTTAAAAAATATGTTGTACACAAAACTAGTTAATTCACTACTTAATTTGCTATAACTCGAATTAATAGTTAGATAAATAGTTAATTAGTTTTTTACAATTTTTTATTAATTGCTACATTTGACTCTAGTTTAAAAAATATGTTGTACACAAAACTAGTTAATTCACTACTTAATTTGCTATAACTCGAATTAATAGTTAGATAAATAGTTAATTAGTTTTTTACAATTTTTTATTAATTGCTACATTTGACTCTAGTTTAAAAAATATGTTGTACACAAAACTAGTTAATTCACTACTTAATTTGCTATAACTCGAATTAATAGTTAGATAAATAGTTAATTAGTTTTTTACAATTTTTTATTAATTGCTACATTTGACTCTAGTTTAAAAAATATGTTGTACACAAAACTAGTTAATTCACTACTTAATTTGCTATAACTCGAATTAATAGTTAGATAAATAGTTAATTAGTTTTTTACAATTTTCAAATCTACGTTTGTCAATCTTAATAAAAAAACAAAATCAACTCCCGCTACACAACAAAGCACAATTAATGAGATTTCTTTGTATTTAACTTATGATGTTGATTTTGAAAAAGATGATGATTTTGACGTACTAAACTGGTGGAAGGGAAAAGAAAGAATGTTCCCGGTTTTAGCAAAGATGGCTAAGCAAATGTTATCAATGCCGGTTTCAACGGTTGCCGTGGAACAAGAATTTAGTTCGGCCGGCAATGTTCTAACACAAACCAGAACGAGGTTGAGCGCTGAATCTCTTGAGATGCTTATATGCTACCACGATTGGTTGAAAGCAGCACGTAGAGCTCAAGAAATTGACATCACTCCATCCCAACACTTTATGGATGAATCTACAGAGGGTGGCTCTACTTATGCCGGAGATTCCGATTAAAAACAATTATAGTTCCTATTTAATTTTCAAATGTAGTTCCTATTTCATTTCAAATAAATGCACTTGAAGTTTGTTTTTTAATACTTGTATAAAACTATAAAGTATAAAATATAAATTAAAAAAAAAATTTAACCGGCCCGGCCCGGCCCGGCCCGGCGGGTGGCCCGACCCGTGACCCGGGCGGGTGGCCCGGCCCGAACCGGACCCGTCCAACCCTCGGGCCGGTCCCGGGCCCACTATTCTAGAACCGGCGGCCCGACCGGGCCTAGGCCCGGCCCGGGCCCGACCCGGCCCGAATCCATCCCTACCCCCCAGCTTCTAAAAAATCTGATTCTGAGAGTAAATTAGAGCACCAGAAGTGCTTCTGGAATTTCACCCAAACACTTCAGCTTCTCCTTTTGCTCTCTGAAGGAGCAGAATCAGTTTTGAGAATCAGATCCAAACACCCCCTAATTCTCTTATCCTGCTCTATGTCCGTTCCTTCTATTTCTTTTCCAGCCGCCCCATTCCTTTTCTTTTACAGCTGCCATTTTCTTTGATGTCTTGCTACTCTGCTAGTTGTTTTTCATTTTGTGTTTTATGTTTTTGATTTTATTTTTTCATTACTTTTAGTTTTAGTTAGTTTGTTTTCTTTTCTTTTGTCTTTTTTCTTTTATTCTTTTCTTTTCTTTCTTTTCTTGTTTCCTTCTTTCTTTTTTTTTATATATTAATACCGAGCACATTAGAAATAAGTTTTACTTTAAACTCAAATAAATAAAGCGTAGGGATGGACTAAACCGGCCCGACCCGACCCGGAACCGGCTCGACCCGGAACCGGCTCGACCCGGAACCGGCTCGACCCGGAACCGGCCCGACCCGACCCGGAACCGGCTCGACCCGGAACCGGCCCGGCCCGTTACTGTTTGAGCCCGGACCGGACCGGGACCGGTTGGCCGGTTCCGGGCTTTTAGCCCTTTTGGGCGGGCCGAGCTCGGGCCCAATTTTTGGTGAACCGACCCGGGCGGTTCAGGCCGGGCCCGGTTCATTTTTTTTTTCAATTTTTTTTGCTTTTCTGGGTTAGGGTTGGGTGTTTTGGGGGGTTTGGGGGTGGGGGTGAAGGGGTCGGGGGTCGGGTGTTAATTAGAAACCAAAAAAAAATTGAACTTGACCCGGGCCCGGCCCGGCCCGGGTTGATCCCTAATAAAGCGTCTAAAAACAATGAACATACACGAATTAGCTTTTGAATTTTTGAAAACTCATTTTGTAAGTTTTGTACATTTAGTACCTTCATTATGCTCATTTCAAAATGTTATATCAATGCATATTTCAAAAGTCTCATATTTCAAAGAATTATATCAATGCACGATTCTAATACTCAATAACGGAGCTTCGATGCCCAATTAGATGCTCAACGAACAAAACTTACAATTTTTATATCAATGCTCATCTTGTAAGTTATATATGCTCATTTGTATAGGTCTGATGCTCATTAAAAAATCGTTAATTCTCATTTAACAGAAATCGTGAATTCCATTAATGCACATTTTGTAAGTTACATATGCTCATTTGGTACTCATCCTATGCTCATTTTCTAAATGTCATATCAATGTATTTTTTTTTGAAAATACTATTTTACATTAGATTCACATATTGAAATTCATAGGAGTTGATTATAAATATAATTTAATAAGTTTTTATAAAAGAAAAAATAACAAAAAGAAATTGAATTAGAGGTTATGAATCAGAGATCACGATTCTGAATATTAGACTGCTAATACTCAACATAATAGGTCTGATGCACATTAAAATTTCATTAGTGCTCATTCACCAGAAACCGTGATTTTCATCTCAATAGCAGAGGTTTGATGCTTGATGGATAGTGTACCTGGGGGTAGCTTATCCAAGGGGTTATTGCGGAGAATAACTTAGAGAGAAGTCAGAGCAAATAAGTAAGAGAGACAAAGATTTCGAATATAGAATGAGTGTTCAAGTCATGTCTTACAAAGAGGAAAGGGGCAGCTATTTATAGTAGTAATAAATGCGATGAGAGTACACGTGTCAATAATCTAACGGTCGAGGGGTCACCTCAACCGGGGTGACACCGGCACCTACATGTGGCCGCATTAAATGCGGCGGTTGGATGTGATGTTGTACTTGGTACGGCGATCCAGACGCATGTGGAGAGGAGATTCTGTCGATGAAGGTGCCTTCGGCTGTAGATGATAAGCCGAAGGCTCATCATACCGGGGGCCTCTCAGTGCCGAGGGCTCTAAGTGCCGAAGGCTACTGATCCGCCGTTTTCTCCCAGTAGATTTGTATGCCCAAAACCAGCTGTCTTGTGGGATTTCGAGCCTTCGGCCTAGGTGCCGAAGGCGTCCATATGTGCAACGTGGGCTCCTTGATATTTGGGGCACTGTGATT